AGATCTTTGACCAAAGAATATTTCATATATCTCCATACCAAAGATAATATCAAAACAGACTATGAAATGGAGAATGGATCAAATGATCCATTTCTGTTGAATGAGGAAATAGTTGATCAATTATCTGAATGCCAAACGATGGCAAGTAAGCTGATTTTGTGGAGAATGAAGATGAAGATGACAAATGTATCACACATACGCATTTATAGAGGTGTGAAGGTGAAAAGATGGAATATAAATGGCTACTTACATGCGTAGCAACTGAAATTAATGACCCAAAATCTTGGAAAGGAAAATCGGAATACCAAAAGTTTTGCTCCATGTAAAGCTTCCACGAAGGGAAAGGTACACGAGTTTTGCACAAGGTTAATAATTAAATGCTTGGGGTGTTGACAATTGAAGAAAACATCAATTGTATTATTTCTAAATCCATACAAAAGTTATTACACAAGTAAATAAAATAGTCATTCCATTAATGACATTGGCTGCCATTACAGTTGAATTAACAATGGCTGCCAATACAGAATTACAAGGAAAATAAATGCATTAATGTCTTAATTACAGTTTACCCCAAGCAGAACACATCTGTTCCCTAAGTTTACCCCATTCATCACTCTGTTCAGAAGAAGCAATGGATAACTCAGTCATAAACTCCTCGTCAACTTCCAGCTTTGTATAGCACTCGACCAAAGACTTGGTTTGCTCAACTCCTTAGGAAGAATTACATCTCTTGGCAATTGATCTAGCCTTGCAGTCATCCATCTTTACTTGGAGTTCCTTCATCTCCGCAGCCAGGCTTGTCATCAAAGAGTCCTCAACCATGACTTCAAAGGAGATTTCATTTAGATCGACCTTGACCTTCTCAATCTCTTGAAGCAAAGACTCCTTTTCAGTTATAACATGGAGATACTGAGTCTTCTTGGCCTTTAACTCGACATTCCTGGCTAGCAAAGAGCTTATCTCATAGTGGATAATCTTCAATGTGAAGCTCAAGTGCTTGACCCATTTTTGCACTCAAAAGTTCGAATTTATCTCTTTGTCTAGCAGTCTGGGTTTTGCCGATATCCATATCTATGAAGGAAACGTATTCAAGCACTAATTGCTTGAGAACATTCATATTTTCTTCCGAGATTGCAACAGATGAAGCAGAAGGATGACTGACTGGAGAAGGGCGAGATGTTTTTACTTGATCCCAAAAGATGAACAAGTCTTGGATGGAGCGCAAAGTGGCATCAGTGACCTGTAAAGAAAAGTGCAAACATTTAGCATTTTCATTGCAGTAAATGAAGTGAAGATTAAAGATAAAACAAAGGCTACCTCATCCCAACTTTGGGAAGTTGGGGAATATCACTGGTCGACCCAGCCACTTGTGGAGACTTCCCCTTGTCCGGACGAGCAGACTCTACCACAATGGGCAAGTCCATTGGAACCTCTGCAAAATTCAAAGGAAATGAGTTGAAATCCAATAGTACAAGCAAGAAACGACCGCAAGATATAAATTACCCGTCGATTCAACACATGGGGATCAATGCCCTGGGAAAGTGGAAATTCTCCAGTTAGCTGCGCATGTGAAAACTCTAGGACTATGGCTTTTTCTTTAGGCAATGCCCCTGCATCAGACAACTTGGATGAAAATGCCGAAGGAGAAGTCGAGATCTTCTGGAAAAATTTAGGTAAAGCATTAACCCATGAAGGATTGTTTTGTTATGAATAAACAAGCTCAATTACCTTTCTCCTAACGATGAGAGGAGCATCATCATCATCATCATCACCATATAAAATTGGCGAAGCTAAAGCTGGCCTTTTGAGACTGGAAGTACCTTTGGCTGCACTAGCTTGAGCAGAAGGAGAAGTAGATGAATGAGCAATATGTTTAACGTGAGCATGCGAAGTAGGATTCCTAATAGACACATGAGTAGAATGGATAGGAGAAGTGGAAGAAGTTGCTGGCCGTTCTAGTAGGTGGAAGGCATGGTTAGCATCATAAGTGAATAGCCTACGCTTTACAGATGGTCAAAATTGTTCAAAAAGAGGAAGAACGGCATAAGTAGAGTTGAAAGTGGCTAATGAGAAGCTGGTTGCCAAAAGAGTATTACGGGTATCAATAGCGCGTGCCTCTATTTTATTAATAGTGTGGAAATGGTCAATCAGGCTTTTGGAAAAACAAGGAGGAACCGGCCACGTCTGGCCAAAACCAAGCTGACGGGCAAAAAATTGGGGAGCATATACCCCAGCCTTGGCATTTGTTCCAGTTAAGATATCATGGAATAGTTCTCTCCCAATCAAGA